GATGAAGATGAAGATGAAGATGAAGATGAAGATGAAGATGAAGATGAGAAGGAATATGAAGGGGAAGACAAAGACAAAGATGAAAACGAAGATGCGGACGAAGATGAAGATAAAGGTGATGACGATAATACAGAAGATGATGAGGATAAAGGTGAATATCGTCGTTTAAAGTGCAAAACCGCGTATCGACAAATTGCAAAACCGCGTATGTGAAGTTGTAGAAATTATTTTCTAGATGGTAAAAACACTCATATTTCAAAATGGTTTTTTTTTTTTATAAAGCAATCGCATATCTGCCTAGTATATTTCAGGACGAACGGATAAGGATTGAGCCAAGAGCTTGTGTGAGCAAATCCAAACTTCTTTAGCGGCGGTTGGTTGGTTGGGAGTAAATTGGCAAATTCAACGGAAATTCCACAAGGAAATGGTGCAACGGAAATGGTGCAACGGAAATGATGCAACGGAAATGGTGCAACGGAAATTATTGGGGCTGAAACAAGTGCTTCTTGGGTGTATGGTATTAATTTAACAAAAAATTGCTAATAAAAGGTTAAAGAATAAAACTTAGAAAAATACCAATACAAGAATGAAAGTAAAGGTGAGTACGTACATAGATAAAGAAAAGGATAAAGGCAAAGGTAAAAATAAATAAAAACCAAAGATGCGTAAAGATAAAGGCAAAAATGAAGACCAAGGTAAATTTAAACACTTTACTTATATCTATAAGGGCAAGGGTGAAGGGGAATACGTAGATGAAGAAAATGATAAACATAAAAGTAAAAACAAAGATGAGTATGAGATATTTATCGATTTGGTTATCGATACTTATCGATTTTGTTGTCGAATTTATCGATTTTGTTATCGACATTTATCGATTTTGCTATCGATATTTATCGATTTTTTTATCGATTTTATTATCGATATTTTCGAGTTTGTTATCGATATTTATCGATTTTTTTATCGATATTTGTCGATTTTGTTATCGATTTTCGAATCGATTTTGCTACGAGTGGTATTATCGATTTTGCCGTTGAAATTTTTATCGAATTTGTCATCGATTTTGTTATCGATTTTTTTTATCTATCTATCGGTTTCGTTATCGATATTTTGTTGGACGTTATTATCGATTTTGTTATCGATAGAGTATAAAGATAAAAATTAATATAATGGAAAAACAGAATAACATGAATGATAATAAAACGAACAGGGGTGAAGGTAGGGAGGGATCTAGATAGAAAAAAGAGAAAAAATATAACCTTAAGCAAAAGCAGGATGTGTGTATGTATACATTGGTTATGAGACAAAATAGATAAGTAACGTCAGTTTCACTTCTCTAGTGTGGCCCAGGCGCACTTACTTTTTTATTACTGCTCGTGAACTCTCTTTTTTATGACAAATCAGCTATCTCCTTTTTAGTGGAGCTGAAGTTTCGTGGAATGTTAAAAACAAACCACTTAAGCCGTTATTGGTTGATCAT